TGTATGTAAGTGTATGCTGGCACTTTCTGGGTGCAATCACACATATGTCATGGTGTGGCTATGGATGTGACAACCTAGGGTGTCAATCTTGGCCTCATGCCACCTTTGGGACAAGATCTTTTGTTTTTCACTTCACTGCAGCATAGGCTACCCGACCCGTGAGTTTCTGGGAATTAGCCTGTTTGAATTCCTCATCTTACCATGGAATGCTGGACTATGGGTGCACGCTACTGGGTCCAGCTTTCCCTGGGCTCTGGGCATCTGAACTCAGGTCCTCATTCTTGCTTGCACAGCAAGCAAATTACCCACGAAACCACCTCGAGATCCCTCCCTCCCCGACTTTTAAATCAGGACACCAGCTCTTGACCTTGTGGTGCTATCGTGTGGGTTAAATGAGAATGTCTGCAGACGTTTGCCAGAGATGTCCGCGAAACTTCACTCTCCATAGAATGTGATTCCAAGGCTGAGGTCCTTCTGCTGAGGTCCTGCACGTGATTCCAAGGCTGAGGTCCTTCTGCTGAGGTCCTGTATGTGATTCCAAGGCTGAGGTTCTGGGGCTGAGGTCCTGTACGTGATTCCAAGGCTGAGGTTCTGGGGCTGAGGTCTCTCTGCAGCGTTTCAGAAATGAGCCCTGTGTTCTGCTCAGTTCTTCCTGCACATTCTCATTTTCATTGTGCTTTTTCCAAACACGCATTTTTCTGTATTGACAGTTGGAATGTAATTCAAGCAGACCTCTGTACCTTATAATAATCAAATTACAGACAAAGGCATGGGTACTGCAGCCCGAATCTGCGCCCACTCTCTGCTGCTTGGCCCTTTGCACCCCGTGTCCTTTTCATCACCCCATGTTCTTTCTCTGCAGCGATAACCACAGGCACAGCAGTGGCAATGACAGCCTTTTCCTACTCTGTGCCCTATGTCTGCAGCTTTATTTCCATTGTTCAATTTAATCACCACACTGGGTTTGCCTTATTATTATTCCTCAGTTGTACAGCAGAGAACATTTAAATCAACTTAAAATACTTGATTAAAAACTCTAAAGTTCAAAATGTTGGATGCAGAGACGCTTGCCTGAAAGCCTGCTCCTACTGTTAGCCTTGGGCAGCCACTAATGGACTTCTCTGCATCACAGAACTTTTGTACACAAAACTATAGATCTTCCTATTTTGAACATTCCCTGTAAATCGAATACGTGAGCTTTTGTGCCTGGCTTCTTCCACATCACAGGGTGTTTTCAAGGTGCTTGTGTCTTGTCTCATGTCTGGGTACTTCACTCTCATTTGAAAATTTATCTGATCATATTTTAGTGTGTGTGTGTGTGTGTGTGTGTGTGTGTGTGTGTGTGTGTGTGTGTGTGTGTAAGTACACACACCTGTATGTGCCACACAGCATCATGCATGGAAGTCAGAGAACAAAGTTTGAGGACTTGGTTCTCTCCTTCCTTGGTTTTAAGTCAGAAACTCTCAGGTCATTTCTTCCGTGCTGTGTGCCGGCTGACTGGCACGTGATCTTCCAGGGGATTCTCCTGCCTCCACATCTCCCTCCCTCACTGTAACAGCTGGGATTACAGCTGAGGCTACTGCAGCTGGCTGACATGGGTTCAGGTCATCAGGGTTGCTCGCCTGCCGAGCCGTCTCCCCACCCTTGACTCCTCCTAACGGCCGGATAAGCGTGCTAGGCAGACCCATTTTATGTACACATTCATAAGTAGAGATTTGGAGATGTTTTCATCTTTTTCCCTGTCATGAATAATGGTGCTAGTGTAAGAAGTTTTCATGTTATGATACCTTTCCAATCTCCCCACTGTTGGGTCGTATGGGAACTGTAAATTTAATTTGTTTGGAAACTGTCAACCTATTTTCCAATGGGGCCATGTTTTCTGTTACCAGAAGTACAGATTCCTTTGTGTTATGAAGACTCATAGGCTTTGGGGCTTTTTCTGTAGCCATGGAAGGCTGTTCGGCTGGGTTCTTGAGCCTAGAACTGCAGAAGAAAGAGGAGAATGGATTGAATGCAATCCTGCAGGGAGCTTGTGCTGACCTCCCTCGCTGCTGTAGTGGAATGCCTGGTGGAAGCAGCTAAGGAAGAAGGGTTTGTTTTGGCTCTCGGTTTTACAAGGGTTTCAGCCCATCATGGTGGACAGTGTGGGAACAGGAGCTCAAGGCATGTGGTCACAGTGCCACCACAGTCAGGAGCAGAGTGACAGAGGGCTAGTGGACTCGCTTCCTCCCGCTTTCCTTCTTGATCAGTCTGGATCCCTAGCCCACAGTATGGGCCCCCACAATCCCATCAATTAAATCTCTGAAAACAGCCAGAGGTAAATCTCCTTGGGGACTCTAAGTTCAGTCAAGTAGACAATGAAGAGTCACTGTCCCATAGAAACTCTTCCCCTTTGACGAGGTTTTGGTGTCCTCCGCTCTCCAGAAATGCCAGCCCATGTCAGCTTCTTGTAGGGGAAGTTTACTTCTTACAGTTTTCTAGCTGTTTCCAAGTGTGGTGATATATTGTCTCTCCCAATATAGTGTGCACCCTAGTAAAGCTTATCTGGGGATCAGAGGAAAAAGCCAGCCACTATATTAAACATAGAAGTCAGGCAATGGTAGCACATGCCTTTAATCCTAGCATTCAGGAGGCAGAGATCTATTCGGATCTCTGTGAGTTCAAGGCCACACTAGAAACAGAGCCGGGCATGGTGGCACATGCCTTTAATTCCAACACTACAGGTCTGGAGGTTTGTACAGACAGACAGGAAGTGACAGAGTTGGGCAGAAAGAGGAAGTGATGTAGCTGGGCAGAGAGAGGAAGTGAGATGCAGAGCAGAAAGGCATATAAGCGAGGGTATACAGGAAGTAGGTCTCTTGGCTGAGGATCTCCAAGTGGTAAGAACATGGCTGGCTTCTTTCTGCTCTTCTGGTCTTTCAGCTTTCACCCAAATATCTGGCTCCAGGTTTTTGGGTTTGTTTTTTTTTTTTTATTAATCAGACTGTTTAGCAATCCGTCATACATCTGAGAGGTGTCTAAAATAAATGAGCTGTCTGCTCACACATATTTCCTGCCTCAGCCTTCATGGAAATGCATATTAATCATTGAAGTGAAACATGACTAAGTAAATAAAGTCAGCATTAGGTGATCCAAAAGTTAGAAGCAATTTGCCCTGAGAATCCTTTTTGTTATTTTTCCACTGTGGACTTAGTGTTCTAAATATTTGTATAAAGTAATAAATATTATTGTTTTAAGGTAAAAGATAACTTTTTCCTATCAACATAACATCGTTTTTTTTTTATCCCAAATCAAGGAGGACTGCAGTTTTAACTATGGTGGCTTACTTATCATTATGTGACTAAATATGTGTTTCCATCCAGTTTGTTCAGAGCGCTGTCCTTGCTCTCATCAGGAAAACCTATTACCACATTAGTCACAGTGCTTCTCTCATCACGTGACTGAAACACTGGACAGAAACAACGTAAGGAAGGAGAGGCTCATGGGTTTGGTTCACAGGTTCAGAGGTGGCCCTCATGGTTGGACAGTGTGGCTGCTGGGAGAGCGCCATCATAAGGTGATGGAGTGAGGCAGCTTCGTCACATTTTAGTAACCAGTGATCTGGCTCAGAAGTGGCCTGGGCTATCAGTGCCGAAGGCTAATCCTGGTGGCCTGAGTCTGCCAGCTAGGCCACATGTCCCAAAGGTTCCATAATCTCCCAAAAAAGAAACACCAAGGGACCAAATGTTCAAATAAACCTGCTGAGGACATGTAAGACTCAAACTGTACCATAGCACTCCTGGACACACAGGCTCCACCATCTCATCACGCCGGATGCATGTAGTCTAACTCTCAGAATCCTTATGTCGTTAAAGGAAGTTACAGCCACTCTGCAGTGGCACACAGTAAGCACCCCCATTTCAACAGGAGGACTGGGGGGCTGGTAAACATAAACCAAACCAAAGGAACAC